GAAAAGAAACTAATATTGTTATATGAATAAATTGTGTTTTTTTCTATTGCCATTGTTTCATTTTTTCAAATGACAAGAAAGTTTTTATTAAAGAAATTACAAAAAATCAATTTTCTTTAATATTAAAAATATGAATTATTTAACAAATTTTTAAAAATATATTATCAGTTTTTATGAGGTTATTGAACGGATCGACGGATATCATAATACATATTAATAGCGGGTGTTAAGATATATACCGGGTTGGCTTAAATTTTTAATTAGTAAACTTTTAATTAAATCTTAACTGGATTATATAAAAATTGTCGGATGTACCGATTCAACTATGGATCTGGGTCGGATATGGAAACATTACGTGAAAATCAAACATTATAATAGAACTTTTTAAAATATTAATAAAACAATTTTAAAATTTTTGTGTTTAAATAATTAATTTAAATAAATTTTATCAAAATGGTGTATATTAAAGAGTTTACCTACTGGGCTTCAATTGGTACGGATTGTTGCTTTAGGTTCACTGTTGTTTTAAGCTTTAGACGGTAGAGACTTTGACTTTAAAAACTTTGATTTTTGTCTAAAGCTTGAAATTGTGACTTTAGAAAAAAATGAACAAAATAGAAAATCTTTTTAAAAATTGGCTTTAAGGGTTTTACACAGAATTTTAAGTGGTCTAAAGCCTAAAATCTGATTGTTTAAAATTTTGACTTTAATGACTTTACAAAAGCTAAAGCCTATAAAACCAAAATACCAATCAGACCACATATACATTTTTTCAAGTTAACAATTGATCTAAGTATTACTCGAACTCTAATCTATATGATAATTTATCTTTAAATCTTCTCTTCTGATGGAAAGAGAATTATCTATGGTGGGATTAATGGTTAATTTCTTTTTCTTTTCCAATCCACCACTACGATATTTGGTTTAATCTCAGAAACTATAATCGATGACAAGAAATTTAATCTAGTTACATTGAATCAAAGATCAAGTGGTAAAAAACTTATCCTAACTACTTTGTCATGGAAACCACAATGGTGTAGTATCATTGTTATGGACATGGAATTGATGTAATCACATATGTATTTGAAAAATTTGAAGATTACAACTATAACTATCTAGAGTTGGTTCTTCACTAGAGATACAATTTTTTTTGTTGTGCAGTAATGTTCTTAGAATCTTTGAAAACTGACAGTCACACTTACTATTTCTTATGAGAAAATCAATAAATTGATTTTTTCTCGAATAATATGTTTAGATCATATTTGAGATCTCTTACAGCAGAGATATTTTTGAAATATGATTTGGAATTTCTTCAAAAAGAAGATAACCAAATATAAATAGTGCTATATGAGGAGAAACAAGATGAGTCACAAAAAAGTTCTTCAGATTATAATGTTTTTATCAACTATTTTATTTATACAAAATATAGTATTACATATAAAATAAAATTACAACTAAATGCAAATATAAAAATAAGAGAGAACATTACAACACACAAACTACACTTTGAAGAAGCTTTCTTCTGAATAATCTTTGTTTTGTAATGTTTTCAAATCTTAGCTTTGCAATTGATTGTATTTCTATTATTTTCTACACCTTTATTGCAACTTCATATTTCATTCAAATAAACTAGTTGCTAAAAACAGTTGATTTAAATATGGAAAATTGAAACAATCTACACGAAGGAGAGAAGATTAACTGTCCGTCCTAAAATTTGCTTATAAGAAATGAATTGTGTGTTAAACAGGGGAGTGTTAATTAGGAGAGAATGAATATGTAGGTTTTTAATGGTGACTGTAGTTTACAAAAATTTATTGTTAGGACTTGGGTGATTGGTTACCATCATTGACGTTGAGTAGAATGCTGCAATCTTCACACTGTTTCTTCATTTGTCTTTGTGTTAAACCACATGCCAAATTCAACAGAGCATCAAGAGGTCAGAACAGATAATTAGTTTTTTGTTATGCAGGAGCGACTTGTCATCCGGACCCGATGAAATGGTGTCGATGAGCATTTGAAATCATGAGTGTAGGCAGATGTGTGTGTAGTTAAGGGAGATCACGTGGAATATAGCACATTTGATTGCAAGAGCCTCTTGCCATGCAAGTTGAAACATGATCATAATAAAGAGTTCCTTGACTGAGCTCGGTTAATGCATGATTGTTGAAGATCCGATCTAAACTTGTCGATTTATCTTCCGATTACCAGGCAGCATATGTATTGCATATCACAATCTGAGGGTGAAGAACTTGGATTTGAGGCAAATGCGATGGTATCAGTGCGATTGGGGCCGTATTGGCTATTCGTGTTGGACCTTCTCATATTCCTTGACTGGAGACCACTGGAGACTATTTGGCTTTGTAGATCAATATGTATGACCATGCTAAGAGAAAGACTTTAATGCATGAGACTGATAATGAGATGTGAAATGGCTCTAAATCCTTACACAATTAACTTTAACTCAATCTAATTGATTCTCTTAAACCTTTAATCATCACACTGTAGCATTTCAATGTGATTTCAGGTAGTTAATACACATGTTTAAATGTACAACTTACCAGTAATATATCTTCATTTATTTCGATGCTATGTCATCATTTTTACTTGAATGCCAAATTGAAACGACATGACCATGATTTTTTCCTTCTCTTGCGACCTAGGGTTACTTACTGTTATAGTTCAATTTCCTTCCAATAATTAAGTACAAGTTTAAAATTTTAGTGTGTATGATTTTTGTACACTCACTTGACACATATTAAGATATCTATATTAAGTCACCAAAATTGAAGCACAACTGAATAAGAAATAATATATACTATGTACAGTGTATAAATTATTTTTAAAAATTCAGTCCTACAATCCAATTTTCTATTGAGTAATAGAATTTATATAATAAATTACCAAAATTGTTTTCTTCGTCATATTCCCCAAAATGACTAAATTCAAAAGTTTTGACTAGCTCATATTATCTATATACACCGCTAAAAATCTTATTTTTTTGGTGGAACAAATAGCAATTGAATTACAACAAACATGTAGTGTTGTAATGCTAAAGTCATTTTTCGACATTGAAATATATGTCTGCTAGTCGAAAAAAATAGTCTGGATAGCTAAACTAAACTATAATAAAACAACGAACAAAATACAGTTTCTTACAAAAAGAATCTGCAGTATGAAAAAATCTTGCAGTCATAGGTGAACAGTCAACAACAGTTGCATTATAAGTTCGAAGTATGTAGAGCATCTCAAAAGAATGAAATCATCTCTATAGCGCAGCTATATCTTTTAATCTTAAGTTTCCTAATCAGTGTGATTAAATTCATTCATGTAATCCAACACTTAGGTAAAATGACATAACATACTTTCCATTACTTATTTTCTTCTTTAAATAAGGCAGATATTTTTGACCAAAAAAAAAAAAAGCAGATATTTCAACACATAATCGTCCATTTTAAGCTATTGCATTCCATTTTAGGGGGCATCTCAACAATCAGTTTTTTTGTTTAATTCCACCTAGGTTTTTTGGCCGCTGGATGCTTCTTGGTATACAGGTACCTTGACTGAGCTCAGTTAATCCATGATTGTTGAAGATCCGACCTAAACTTGTCGATTTATCTTCCGATTTCCAGGCAGCATATGTATTGCATATCACAATCTGAGGGGAAGAACTTGGATCTGAGGCAAATGCGATGGTATCAGTGCGATTGGGGCCGTATTGGCTATTCGTGTTGGACCTCCTCATATTCCTTGATTGGAGACCACTGGAGACTATTTAGCTTTGTAGATCAATATGTGTGACCATGCTAAGAGAAAGACTTTAATGCATGAGACTGATAATGAGATGTGAAATGGCTCTAAATCCTTACACAATTAGCTTTAACTCAATCTAATTGATTCTCTTAAACCTTTAATCATCACACTGTAGCATTTCAATGTGATTTCAGGTAGTTAATACACATGTTTAAATGTACAACTTACCAATAATAAATCACCATTTATTTCGATGCCTATGTCATCATTTTTACTTGAATGCCAAATTGAAACGACATGACCATGATTTTTTTCCTTCTCTTGCGACCTAGGGCTACTTACTGTTGTAGCTCAATTTCCTTCCAATAATTAAATACAACGTTTAAAATTTTAGTGTGTATGATTTTTGTACACTCACTTGACATATAGTATTAACTTGCTATCTCTATATTAAGTCACCAAAACTGAACGACAGTTGTAATAAGAAATAATATATACTACTATGTACGGTGTATAAATTATTTTTAAAAATTCAGCCCTACGATCCAATTTCTTATTGAGTAATATAATTTTTTATATAATAAATTACCAAAAATGTTTTCTTCGTCATATTCCCCAAAATGACTAAATTCAAAAGTTTTGACTAGCTCGTATTATTTATATACACCGCTAAAAATCTTATTTTTTTTGGTGGAACAAATAGCAATTGAATTACAAGAAACATGTAGTGTTGTATTTGCTAAAATCATTTTTCGACATTGAAATATTTGTCTGTTATTCAAAAAAAGATAGTCTGAATAGCTAAACTAAACTAGAATAGAACAACGAACAAAATACAGTTTTTTACAAAAAAAGATGTGCAATATGAAAAAATCTTGCAGTTATAGGTAAACAGTCAACAACACTTGCATATAAGTTCGAAGTATGTAGAGCATCTCAAAAGAATGAAATCATCTCTACAGCGCAGCTATATCTTTTAATTTTAAGTTTCCTAATCAGTGTGATTAAATTCATTCATGTAATCCAAAACTTAGGTAAAATGACATAACATACTTTCCATTACTTATTCTCTTCTTTAAATAAGCCAGATACTTTTGACCCAAAAAAAAAAAAAAGCAGATATTTCAACACATACATACCATACATACATATAGAATGAACATTTTTTGTATGTATCCGTGCGAAGATATATAAACAGACAGAGAGAGAGAGCGCCAGATTAGATCTGAAAACTGTTGTCATCTAAATAAAAAAAACCGGCGGGAAACGTAAAGCGTCTTTTTGCGTCTCCCTCCAAACTATTTTTCCCCTTTTAATGTGTTTCTCCGATTCTGCTTTATAAACCCTAATTTCTCAAATCAACAAAAGCCCTAACAATTTCTCTCAGAGATTCGACGAAGAGGATACAATTAATCTCCATGGCGTGTGTCTCCGATGAATCCCAGATCGAGATCAACATCCACGACGACCACGTCGAAGAATCTCCGTCATCGTGCAACGTTGGTTCCCACAGTCTGATGTCGAAGAAGGTGAAGGCCCGTAAGCTTCCGATGGTTGAGCGATTCGATGTCGAAGGAGGTAGTAGCGCTGATGGCGATTGTTGTCGCCGCCCCGATGATGATTACAAGCTCCGTCGTGAGATTGTCCGCGTCTACTCTCGTCGCCGTAAGAGGTCGACGGTTGGTGGGAATAATGGAAGTTTGAAACTTGATGAGAAGAATCTGAAGAAAAGGAAAATTGGTGAGGGTTCGGGGTTGAGAGGTTGCAGTAGTAACGATGCGTTGAGTGGGAATAAGCAGAACGGGTCATCTAGGAGGAAAGGGAGCTCTGGTTCAACTAAGAGATGGGTCAGGTAAAGGGTTTATCCATCACTTTCTCTACCCACTGAAAGTCACTGACTTTGGAGATTTTATGATATTTTAGGCTGTTGTTTTAAACTGATGATTTGGCTATGTATGATGAGAGGTTTTGATTATTTTTTTTTTAGGTTGAGTTATGATGGTGTGGATCCTAAAAGTTTTGTAGGGCTTCAATGTAAGGTAAGTGTTAAACTAGATAATCGTCCATTTTAAGGGATTGCATTCCATTTTAGGGCGAATCTTATTCTTAACAATCAGTTTTTTGTTTAATCCCACCTAGGTTTTTTGGCCGTTGGATGCTTCTTGGTATACAGGTTCTATTGTTGAGTACAGTTTGGAGAGAAAACGTCACATTGTAAGTAGTTCTGTCTCTACTCTAATTGAGTTTTGAGTTTGAATGGTTTTGTCAGCTACGGGATTTTCAGAAGCTTGATTCTCTAACGGTGGTTGAATTCTTCTTTAGGTTAAATATGAGGATGAAACTAGTGAGGATCTAGTGCTTGATCGTGAAATGATCAGATTTTTCGTTTCTCGTGAGGAGATGGAGCAGTTACATCTGAAGATTTGTACTAATGATGTGACTATTGGTGCTCGTGATTACGATGAGATGGTTGTATTGGCAGCTAATTTGGAGGATTCTCAAGATTTTGGGCCTAGAGATATTGTGTGGGCGAAACTATCTGGTTTGTACTAAACTGATCTCCTCTAATTCTGCATATCTTCTCTATGCTATCAAAAAGTTAATGCTTTTGGAAGCATATAGACAAGAAAAACTACGTACTGACTTCCGTAGCACTATATTTGTTACCTTTTTGGTCAGGTCATGCTATGTGGCCAGCAGTTATTGTGGACGAATCTGTTATTGGAGAACGGAAAGGTCTAAACAACAAGGTATCTGGAGGAAGATCGGTCTTGGTACAATTTTTTGGCACCCATGATTTTGCCAGGTTAGCCAATGTCTTCTTAATATTTAAATATCTTGTTCTGCTACCATGTTATTGAGATGAATGTTACGCATTATCAAGCTGAAGTTTAACATCCTGTGGTTGTATAGAATAAAGGTAAAGCAAGCAACCTCATTTATCAACGGGCTTCTCACGCCTTCTAACTTGAAGTGCAAACAACCTAGGTTTGAAGAAGGCATGCAAGAAGCAAAAATGCAAGTCCATCTCTTTTCACTTACATTCTACTTTCTCAATTTTCAGTATTTTGTGCATTCATAATTAGACCAATAATCGTTTCACTGATGACCTTTCATGAAACTTGGACATTTTGCATGTCCTGAAATTACTATTATTTTGCCTCACCCAGATATCTGAAGGAACACAAGCTTCCAGACAGGATGACTCAACTTCAAACTGGAGCTGATCCCGAAAGGACCAATAGTACTGAAGAAGTCAGCTCAAACTCGGCTAGTGATCACACTAATGATGGAGAAGTGTGGTTGAGACCAACAGAACCTGTAGATTTCCGGTATACAATAGGGGATCTGCAAATAATAAATCTCGGTAAGGCTTGGAACTTATATTATGGTGTATCATCCTTTGTGGTATGGTTGATTATTTTCAATTGACTATTGGAATGAACTCCATTATCATGATTTATCTTACAGGAAAGATTGTGACAGACTCTCAGTTTTTCAAGGATGAGAATCATATTTGGCCTGAAGGTTATACGGCTATGAGAAAGTTCACATCATTAAAAGGTAATTTGTTAATTGTCTTTTTTTCTTACCAATCAGTATTTTCCGTTTTTGGTTGATTGAAATTAGTTCACAGTGTGATACTGTGATTTGTGGGTTGTTGCTTTTGGTTTTAAGCAGATCATGGCGCATCTGCCTTGTACAAGATGGAAGTGCTCAGAGATTCCGAGTCTAAGACTCGCCCTCTGTTTAGAGTGACTGCAGATAGTGGAGAGCAAGTGAGTAGAAAGAATCTAATTACTGTTTCTATGCATGTTTTATGTGTTTTGAGGTCCAGCCTGCATCTTTGGCTACCACTGATAACTTTTTTGGCAGTTCAAAGGGCTTACTCCATCAGCATGCTGGAATAAGATATATAACAGAACAAGAAAAGTTCAAAGTGCTACTGATAGTCTTAATGTTTTGGGGGATGAACTAAATGGATCAGACATGTTTGGTCTCTCCAACCCGGAAGTCATTAAACTTGTACAGGTATCTAGTTGTCGCATTTAAATAGATTTTTTTGCTTCTAGTTATTGCATCTAATAGCGTTGCACCCTTATAAACCATCATCTAGCAGGGTTTATCGAAATCTAGACTCTCATCCAATGTTTCTATAAGCAAACATAGTTTGGGAAGGCATCAAGGTCATCCTACTGGTTATCGACCTGTTCGTGTTGACTGGAAAGATCTCGATAAGTGCAATGTCTGCCACATGGATGAGGTTAAGGATGCATCTTTTTGTCTCGAGATTTCAGTCTTCTGCGCTTTAATAAGTTAGTTCTGATATAGAAATTTTCTTATGTATGCAGGAGTATGAGAACAATTTGTTCCTGCAATGTGATAAATGTAGAATAATGGTATTGGTCATGCTTTGAGCTTTTTTAGTTAACATATCCCTTACATCTGTAATCTGTAGTGCTTTGTGTGACTCAAATTGAAATGTCTGGTTCACTACTAGGTCCATGCTGGATGCTATGGAGAGCTAGAACCCTGTGATGGTGCTTTGTGGTTATGCAACTTATGTCGCCCTGGAGCTCCTGACATACCTCCACGTTGTTGTCTTTGTCCTGTAGTAGGTAAGTTGACCGTATCATTTAGTGTATGGACTCTTTTGTGTCCTTTCATTTGTGTATAACAAAAAGTTCTTATAGGGGGTGCTATGAAGCCAACAATTGATGGGCGCTGGGCTCATCTTGCTTGTGCTATATGGATACCAGGTTCAGAATTATGATTTGTTTTTGTGTATAAGCTTGCTTTCTACTGAAGAAATAAGAGGCCTTTTACCATTTTCTAAACTTGCTACTTTTACAGAAACATGTTTATCTGATGTCAAGAAGATGGAACCAATTGATGGGTTGAGTAAAGTCAGTAAGGTTTGTCCTCATATTCTTTTCTTGTTTCCTTTACCCCGTCCATCAGTGTCACTATTACTTTTTAGGATTCTTAAATCTCTTCATTTTTCCTAAAATCTTAGGATCGCTGGAAACTATTGTGCACCATCTGTGGGGTATCTTATGGAGCTTGTATCCAAGTAAGATTTGTTATGTGATAAGAGAAGCTAAATCGTTGTTATGCATTGTGATGGATTCACGTTACACAATTTTCTAGTTGAAATTGCCTGATTAAAAAACTGTCAACGGCCAGCGATGAGTTGATATAATGTTAATAGTGACTACATTTTTCAGTGTTCAAACGATTCTTGTCGTGTGGCATATCATCCACTTTGCGCGCGAGCTGCTGGTCTATGTGTTGAGGTACTTTCATATCTTGCACACAAGTGTACTCAAAACACAGCTAGTCCACAAAAGATGTTTTAACTGATGATGGCTATCTTGACCGTCTATGTAGCTTGAGAGTGAGGATAGGATTTTTCTTCTACCAAAGGAGGATGACGAAGCAGATCAGTGTATCAGCATGCGCTCATTCTGCAAGAGACATCGACAAACATCAACTGCCTGCCTAGAATCAAAAGACATGATCAAACCCACTACTCATAAAACTTCTGACTATATCCCACCACCTAATCCATCTGGCTGTGCTCGTACTGGTATGTAGCTACTGCGTCTATCTTTGAGGTTCTAGGATTAAACTTAAGATTGCACCATTTGTGTTTTTCAGTTATCTTTCATGTTCTTACATATCCTCTTGGAATAGTAGTTTCCTATATTCTATACAAACGTTTTTTTTAATATATTTGTCCTACGCATTTTACATTCTTTTTTACTTTTAGTAATGTTTGCATCCTACGGGTTAGCACCATAGATGATCTATCTCAACATATTTTTGGTCTATTGTTGCAGAACCTTATAATTTTCTTCGAAGGAGAGGGCGGATGGAACCTGAAGCTCTTGCGGCTGCTTCTTCAAAGCGATTATTTGTTGAGAATCAGCCATACGTTATCGGTGGTTACTCTCAAAATGAGGTTTCAACCTATGAGTGCATTCACGGATCAAAGGTCTCACATATGAATACTCCAACCAACATCCTTTCTATGGCTGAGAAATATAGATACATGAAGGAAACATACAAGAAGAGATTGGCATTTGGTAAAAATCGTTCTTCTTAAATTTACAGCCAAGTCTTTCGAAGTTTATGCTACGATCAAAATAGTAGAATTCTATATGATCCTAAGAGTTCATTTTTCTTTGCAGGGAAATCAGGAATTCATGGTTTTGGCATCTTTGGAAAGCTTCCGCACAAGGCTGGAGATATGGTGAGCATACTTAACTCGAACTGAAAATTCCATCTTTGGAAAGTAGTACTCAAGAAAATACTGTATGATTTCGATGTAGGTGATTGAATACATCGGAGAACTTGTTAGACCTTCAATAGCTGACAAAAGAGAACGTCTTATCTACAATTCAATGGTGGTAAGCAGTCCTAACCAACTTTTGTACATTTGTGTGCTTCATAAGTGGAAGATTCGATGAACAATACTGTTCAAAGAAGAATACTGGAAAATGAATTAGCGGATTGATCTGTAGCTTTATTCATCTAATTCATACTTTTATGAATTTTACTAACCGTTTATATATTCTTATATAACATTCTGAGTTCATAAATATCTGAGGAAGTAATTTGTTTCTTACTTGATAGGGTGCGGGTACTTATATGTTTAGAATTGATGATGAGCGAGTTATAGATGCTACAAGGGCAGGAAGCATTGCCCACCTGATTAATCACTCCTGTGTGGTATGTCTATGGCTCATCACTCTTAGCTTCTTGTATTCGATTGAGTTAGCATCTTCAAAAAACTAAGCATTTCTTTGTCTAACTTGTGTGCAGCCAAATTGCTACTCGAGAGTCATCAGTGTTAATGGAGATGAACATATTATCATTTTCGCAAAGAGGGATATAGCTAGATGGGAAGAGCTGACCTATGACTACAGGTTTCATTTTCATGCCCTTTGAATCCTCTGAGATAATTCAATAATCATTTTGTTAACTCTTATCTTCTAACTTACAGGTTCTTTTCAGTCGATGAGCGGCTTTCATGTTCATGTGGCGTTACAGGGTGTCGAGGAGTTGTAAATGATACAGTAGCTGAAGAACAAGTGTCGAAAATCTGGGTTCCTCGCTCTGAACTAATAGACTGGACCGGATAATAAGCTTAGTAAAGTTACAGAATTAGTAATAATCATCCCATTTTTGATTGTTGTAGCTCTTTATACTGAGAGGACTGTTATTTGAACACAAACCATTTTTCTGTACAGATACAAAATTAGTGAGTAGTAACTACACTGATCACAGTAATACACTAGTTTCGTAAAGACAGACTTGCATTCTCTTTTTCTTTCCAGATTTGTGTGTGCTTCAACTAGAGTTTAATCCTAATGGTGTCAAGATTTAGAAACTCTGAAAATAGTATTCATTGACACTTGAATTTATTTTTACATTTGCAACATTTAAAGTGACATTTGTATCATCAATACTTTCAATCTAATTTACTTTTTCATCTAATAAAAAAAGTTGACATGTTGTAAAGGTAAAAACAATGATGTTTTTTTTCCCCAAAAACAACTATTTAATTAATAAAATCAACAAAGATTAAATAATTATTTTTTGAGAAAAAATTGGTACAGTACATTGAAAGTTAGGCTTTTACCTAACACATTATTTTACCTATACGACTGGTCATGTGTTTTACTTTGACGAACAGGCAAATCAGATTGAAAGTTTTTTTGTGATACAAATACATAATTTAAAAATTAGAAATGATAGTCAGAAAAACTTTTTAAAGTGTTAATAAATGCTAATTTCAAAGTTTTTATACTTCCAAAATTTTTATTTTTATGTGATTTTTCCCTTTTGATTTCTTAGAAAATTATTTATGACACAAGTAACGTAAGGTTGTGGCTTTAGTGATAATACTGTGATCATATGATTCAGCGATGTGATCATAAGTTTTACCTTCAACTTTTTCTGATAGAAATGTGAAAAAACCGTTAAGGCATATAAAATACAATAGATCACAAAAGGAACATATTGTAAATTTGGAGTTCAGAGATGTCATCTTTGATGTGTGATTCAAAGAATCTGAGGGATACACCATCAAGAATCCAGAATATTGGCCAAGCTTATACCAGTGAGATACATTTGTGGAACTTAAACGGGATTTTGATTTTGAGGAAACATGTCTGATTCGAAGATGCGAGAAACTATACTGTCAAAAGAAGCTGAGAAAAGTGAACACAAAAAAAAGAACAAAATCAAATGGAATAGTAGTAGTAAAAGGGTTCTTTCTAAGCGACTGGGATCATCTCAGGGTAATCTACAGCTGTGAGGGCTGCTTCAGGTAAAAGAGCAGCCGGAGCAGCAACCTGAGCAGGTGCAGAGTTGAATTCTTCCTCCTTGGGGGCATGGATGATCACAACATCAGGCAATGGTGTCTTTGGTCCATTTATTCCCTTAGGGTCCCAGTCAAGCATGACCTTGACCTTGATTCCGAGCACACCCTGCACATGACCAGAAACTTGCAATTAGACCTGATTGCCGGTTTACATACTCAACCAAAAAAGTCAGACGAAGAAAACTCTAACCTGTCTAAGCAGGACATGTCTGACTGCAGAGTCGATGTAGTCTTTGGTAGGTTGTCCAGAGGAAACCATGTAACCGTCCTTGAATTTCATTGACTTGGCACGCGCAGCACGGAGCTTTCCACTCACAATAACCTAAGAGCAAGAATTTGCGTAAAAAAGCAATGAAAAAAAGTCTTAGAGACATTATTTTATAGAGGAGAAAACAATTAGAGAAAAGTGGGATTATTTGTACTCACCTCACATCCCTTAGCTCCACTCTCCATGACGAATCTCAAGACACCATAGCAAGCCCTATACAAGCCAATATCAAATTGCAATATTAACATCCCGCTTTTTGTTAAGAAATGAGAGCATCAAAGACTAGAAAATAACAATATGCAAGCAATATAAACTAAGTAACCAGCCAAAACCTAGCTTGAACATTAAACTAATTCAACCAAAATTAAATACTGTAACTTCTGTAGAGTGTCCAAGAAAGATAGGATCCTAATGAATATTGCTTCAATTGGGATGCGCATATACAAACATTTGTCAACTACAATTCTTAATTCCTAAAGTTATAACGCTAGGTAATGTGACTCATTATATGGTGCAACAAGCTAACAAACTCATTATCTCAATGCACCTATGAGACCAAACAAACAACAAAGCAGTAGAAAACACATAGTACAGAACAAGTGACATGTGATTACCTGCGAACAGCGAGACCACCGAGGAGCTTGTAACGGAGAGACTCAGCCTGAGCAATGGCACAGAGACCTCTGTTGGCAACCTTTTCAGCGTAAAGCTCGACACTGTCTTGAGGGAATCTGAATCTCTTCTGCACAAGTGATGTCAACTCCCTGATCCTCCTTCCCTTCTCACCTATGAATAATTATCCTTGTGAGATCTCTACACTTAAAAATCCCAATCTTTCTATGAATAACAACACTAAAGAAAATCTCTACATATAAAGTCCCAAACTTTTTATGACTAATAACACTAAAGATAATCTCTACACATAAGGTCCCAAACTTTCTATGAATAACAACAATTATGAGATTTCTACACATAATGTTCTAAGTTTTCTATGAATAAAAACACTTATGAGATATCTACATATAAAGTTCTAAGCTTTCTAATGAATAACACCACTTATGAGATCTCTACACATAAAGTTCTTAGCTTTCTATGAATAACAAAATTTATGAGATCTCTACATATAAAGTTCTAAGCTTTCTAATGAATAACAACACTTATGAGATCTCTACACATAAAGTCCCAATCTTTCTATGAATAACTACACTTATGACATTTCTACACATAAAGTCCCAAGTTTTATGTTAAAAAATTGAGCACAATTTACCGAGAACATTTTGAGTACGAGTGGCTCTGATGATAATCTCAGTCCTCATTGGAGTAACCCTAACCTCCACGCCAGAGTAACCATCCTCCGCTAGCTCCCTAGTCAGAACCTCGTTCAATTCGGCGTAGAACACTCCGTCCGCTACAAACTATTTACAAAAAAGAAAAGACTCAACACAGTTAGTTACGTTCAAACACGACGCATCGAAAGAGACAACGAAAAGAGGGGAATTGCAATTGACCTTTCTCTTCTTGCTGATCTGAGTCGCCATGATGTTGAAATGTAAATCTGCAGAACGCTGAAACCAAGGGAGTAGTGAGTGATCTCAAGAGAATGGTGCGTTATCACAAAATTAGATGTTTAGTTTTTATATCTAGGTTATAAACTAAAATCACCGGTTTATTGGGCCCAATGGGCTTTTGAAGTGATAATAAATCATTTCCGACAAAACCTCTCAAGCCCATGGGCCAAGGCCTCTGTCTTCTGTTCTCTTCTTACTTGATTTTTATTTTCTTTTCAACGTTTTATCTTACTTGATCACATACTTTTAGAACATTTTGTACATTTCGACGGGATTAGGTCAGGAACACTCTCGTGTCTTCTTGTAGTGATTAATGTTCATGTAATTGTAACGAATTATCAGTCAAAGACAGCAAACGAAAATATATAAGAATATATCAATAAATCTTAAGTCGCCAACTACCCAACCACCATTCTTTACAAGTACACATATATAAATATGTACTAAGTTACAATATAAGTCAATTTTGAAAGATCCATGTTGAAAAAACTCATTTGAGAATGCTCTAAGAAAATAAATCCTCTTAGTTTGAAAGACTAGGTAATGATTTATTGACCATTAAAATCATTCGTTTGAATCCCTTGTCATATTTTCGTTCACCTAAAGTTGACCATTCATAGAAGACAGATTGGTTCAGTTTCAAAAATCATGGTTGTTGATGTAGAAGCACATGCAGAAGCAGACAACAATAGTTTTAGTTTCCTTTTCTTTTGTTACATATGTCGTTCAGTTCAAAGCTGCCCATTTATTGATGACGAAAATATACTACCAAAACACTAACGTTCCATGTCTAGAATGTAACTCCATCGTATAATGGACGAGCAGTTATCCAACATACAAGATTCTTTTGGATTTTCTGTCTTGGCGACAAGTTGACTGTGAGTAAAATAATGTCATCAGTTATTTGAAGGAATCATCATTTATATCAGTTTTGAAATTAAACGAGGAGTGACATGTGTTGCGTTCATCATTTCTTTTGGTTGGTCATATTTATTCTCTCATTTCTCTGTATAATAGGTGTTACTGGATGCTTGTTAAGTCTGGTAAAACCAAAATAGATATTATAGCATGTGCATGACGCATTTAGTAACTAATAGAAGTATATTATTGTTATGTGACAGGTGCGATAAGAACTAAAAATCATAGTTCTAGAACTTTCAAGGTCCTGCACTCTTTCAGTAAGCTATCAGGTCAAAATTGGATACCATATTTGTCCAATCCATAACTGAAAGCGAATCATAATGCAGATTTTATATTTACACGCAATCATTCATTTTGTATAAAAAAGGAGATAAGTTTACACAACTCTCATTTTGATATATTTTATGAGATCTGTTTCCAAACCCTTAAATATGGAACTATTTTGTGTAAATAATGATAACCAAGCCTTCAAAAGAATTATATAGTATTATTGCATTCTATAATTTAAACATTGTATTATTGTTCATGTAACAAATTACCAGTGAAAGACAGCAAAGGAAAATATAAAAGAAGATCGGCAAACAATAAGTATGAAGTCAGCCATGACTACTCAACTACCATTCTTCACAAGAGATCCTCATTTAGAGCATCTTGCATGCTGCACATTTCTTTACATATATATATATATATACATTTTGATGATATTTATCTTTCTTTAAAACTAAAAAGAAAAACTCAGAAAGAGAGATAGATAGAACAAAAATGGCAAATGGATCTCCAATGTCTATCTACGACTTCACCGTCAAGGTAAGTAAGCCTTTTGAATATGTTTGATCTTAGGTTCTTTGTTCGTATAAAAAAAAGGAAAAAAGATCCCAAAAAAGAAGAAGAAAATTTTCATTTTGACCCAAGAAAATAAAAGAAGACATTTAAGGTTCAATCTCAGTAATGAACATGTCTTTGTATTTATTCGTTGAACATGGCAGGATATCGGAGGTAATGATGTGAGTTTGAGCCAATACAAAGGCAAAACTCTTCTGGTTGTAAACGTTGCCTCCAGATGGTAAAGAACCATTTATTTATTTTCTCACTATTTTGAGAAAAATGATAGTGTGATGTATGCTTTAATTCATGTTAATAAACATTTTTAAAAGAAAAAAAAGAACTGGAACTAAACTAAATTTCTTATTAAGTGGTCTAACGGATGCAAACTACAAGGAACTGAATGTTCTCTACGATAAATACAAGGGACAAGGTTTGTGATCTATATACATTCAAAATCTGGTTTTCTTTTGAAGTTAATCAGATTTAATGAAATTGAAAAATAACAGGGTTGGAGATATTAGCGTTTCCATGCAATCAGTTCTTGGGACAAGAACCAGGAAACAATGAAGAGATTCAACAAACTGTCTGCACGAGGTTCAAAGCTGAATTCCCCATCTTTGACAAGGTACTTAACTTAATTACCTACTAATCACAATTTAATTATGTTCGTCTCCTCTACTAATCACAATCCTTGTACAATACTTTTCATCTAGTCAAAAAATGTAAACCAAAAAGTTGAACTTTCACCAAAAAAGTTTTGTCTCTTCTCTATTTCTCTATTACTAAAACAAATAGTCAAGTATCTTTTAGGTTAGATGTCGGTTTCTCACCATATACTACTAGTTTATTAAAAAGTAATAGCCAAAATATATTTGACGGTTTGATCACAAGAGTTGGAATAAACATGCGTTACGGAAAAAAATAATTTTATACTAATAGCTAGTGATTATGTGTATTAGTGATTAAAATAGTTCTTTTCTTTACTAAAATATAAATACTTGACGGAAACGTAGGTGGATGTGAACGGGAAGAACACGGCGCCGTTATACAAATATTTGAAAGCAGAGAAAGGAGGTTTGCTCATAGACGCAATCAAATGGAACTTCACAAAGTTCTTGATCTCTCCTGACGGCAAAGTCTTCCAGAGATACTCTCCCAGAACCTCTCCTCTTCAATTCGAGGTACCGTACCAGTCTCCCCGGTTCCCTCCTTAACCGGAATCCTCACATTTCTTGATTAGGTGTTTCACACATAACACACAGCCTTATAGTCAGTTATACCTAACCGGTTTTTATGGATTTGTTTGTGCAGAAAGACATTCACACTCTATTGGGACATGCTTCTTCTTAAACCATCGTCTGAAAGTTTCAAGAATCCACAACATTGCAAAACATATTTTATCTGAGTCAGTGTTTTAAAATAAAATGTTGTCTTTACAACAATAAAATATCGTATTTATCACGTGACTCAGTTTACAGCTCAGACTTTAAAGTTATCTGACAAAGAAATATGTATTTCGCCGTTATTAGAAAAGTTGGATACGTAACAAAACACGTGAATGGATGATCATGTCTAACGTTTTACCTTATCGTAGACGACACGTTAAGCGTGTTCACAACTTATGAACACACAAAGTTTCTGATTCTTTTCCCACAAACGGAAAAAAAAAGAAAAAAGAATCACAAGTAAGGACATGTTCTTTAATTATTAACCTCTTGTAAAAACTCACGAGCTTTACCA